TCCTCTCAAAATATGTATATATATATATATTCTTCTTCTAAAAAATCGGAACTAAAGTCTGAAAATTAAAACTGCCAGGAGGTACAGAAGAAAAATGCAAAGTATCTTTTGCCAGAAAACTTTTCTTTTTATCTTGTGTACAGAACCTGTGGCGCATGTGCAGAGCAGTGCACACCCCTGGCTCTTAGAGATGGTGGGAATGTAGTCACATGTTGGAGATGATGATGACAGAATCCTGCTGCCCCATGGCCTTCATCGAAAAAGACCATCAGTAGATGTCATTGATGGCGACAAAGGAGCAAGGGAGTTTGTGTAGGTCGCATTGCTGAAGGAAGGCACCCTAGGAGGTTAGTAGGCCATAATATGCAAGTAGGCTCTGCATACTTACTCATTTTTTAAAGCGATAATCTTGTCCACAAGAGGGTATGTTCCAATTTAAAGAGAAAAATTATGTAGATCGAGTATTGGGAGTTAAAGGAGAAATATAGCCAAAAATGTTTCTGGCTACACTTCTCCTACGGATCACAGGAGTGCAGTTTGTTCTGCACTCCTGTGACCCCCTTTTCAGCCAACATCAGCCCACTGTTGGCTGACGTATGGCTGGAATCCACCCAGAAGCCTAGACCGTCACCTGGCTCAGCTTCAAAGTGATCCGCTGAGAGCCTAAGCAGCTTCTCCTGCCCCCTCCACAGGCCAGTGCTCCAGTGAGCACTGGATGGGCAGAGCAGGGAGCAGAAGACTGACAGTCACGGCTCTCTGCTCAGAGTGGAGGGAAGAACTGAGCAGTCACGGTGTTTGATCGCTCAGTTCTCTGTGCAGAGCCGGAGGGGGACAGATGTAGCATCAGATTGCTGCTGCATCCCCTTAGGTGAGTATAATCTATTTTTTTGGATAGCCCATATGTCTCCTTTAATATTGCAGATTTTTTATCTTTTTGCTGTAAATTTTACATTCTTCTTTTTCATGTTTTTGTTACTCTATTGGATACAGTGAGTTGCACATTAACCACTAGAGGGAGCAATGTACCAAACTCAGTGTTATTTAACCCCTCACACCTTACCTGCTGTTCGGATAAGATATCATCCACACAGGGAGTGCATTGGTTTTAATGAATTAATCGACTTACACACTTGCATGGTTAAAAGTACAATTACTGTGTAGCACTGCTAAGCAGAAAGCAGAACCTGTATGTGTGTAATAAATACGCAGGGCAAAGCAAAGGGTTCACTTTAATCCTCTTTCCCAGCAGTACATACTCACCTTTCCTTTACTCTCTCTACAGCTATCAGTCGCTCAAGGGCTATGGACTCACCACATGATAGCATTCCTCCATACCAAGAATTACTGGCTATTTTCTGCATTACTGGAGGCTGAACAGAGCGGTGGGGGAGCAAGAAGAGGTAAGTATGCAAAGCTGGAGAAGGAGCATTAAAGGGAATATTTTGCTTTGCCCTGCATGGGCAAAACACAAGTTTGCCATAACGTCAACCTTATAATGATAAATCAAACTATGTCCACAGTAAAAAAACACTAAAGTTTTTTTGTCTTTTTTTTTTTAATCAACACATCTACTTTTTAGAACCCATTTACACGAACGTATTTCTAATTCATGTTTAGTAGCCCTTTGAATCTTTAATTATCGTCTTAATAAGTCAAATTAGGCGCATTGGAAAATATCGATTTCTGACTAATGGTTATTGGTTTATTGTTGACTAGGCTCTGTTAGAACTAGATACTCACGCAGGTGGTATACCCAAAGGCTAGAAGTGAAAAATGGGACTTTGTTTCAGTCCAGATACAAACAGATACAGCCTTCTTAGCCAAGAGTCTGGGGAGATACGTACAAATTCAACCACTAAATGACCCAATTTACACATTCAATGCCAGGAGCTTAGAGCCCAACTCTATCATGAAATAATAAATACAATTTTAATATAAAATGTGGCTTTTGTGGCAATACTAACCTTCTCTATGACAGTGTACTGCTCAGACACTCAGCTCTGTCCAACAGGACCACTCCTCTTCCAGTGTTATTTGACCACTTCCTGTAAGCCCTGGCTATCATGGACAACCCCCCCCCCCCCCCCCCCCCCCCCCCCAGGGTTAGCCTCATCAGTGTACTGTAACATGGTATGGCGCTTACACATCACAATGTGAGAATTGTTCTATGTAGGAGGACCTTCTACCACCAATGCTAGAGAAAAGGAAAAGGGTCCCAATTTTCATATGATCAGCTGTAATTCTTATGGATTTAGGTATGTATATTTGAAATGTATTAAGGTCTGATGGTACAGGCGGGAAGGGGCATGATTTTATTGGATGGGGGATGGATACTGGAAATGGATTTTAGCCTACATTCTCCAGGTAGCCAAGTCATGCCATAATGCAGTTATATCCTGTTCTGGATCTTATCTCAGTCAACTCATTCTTGTATACATGCCAAAACATTTGCTTAAATGGACACTCCAGTCAAATCTACACATAGCCAGTCTTGCTGATTGGCTCTAGCTTTCATTCAGACTGCATTCAGCTGTCTTACTTTCAAAATATGCACTCTATGTAACTTGTATTCACAATGGGCCTGACACTCTCTGGACTGCCCCACCAAAACAAAGACAGGTGAGTGCGACCTTTCTCTAGACAACACATACCAAGCCATTCAAAACCAAACTTAGAAAGCTGAAGTTTGATTGGTTGCTATAGTTTTATGGGCAATGTTGCTTCCTATAAGTTATTTTGCGAAGAGGTTGATCCTCATACCACAGTGATGCCATGAGATGAAACTATAATTCTGGCCACCTTCTGAGTGTGCCGTCCATTTCTGGTCACCAGTCCTCAGGGGGGATGTGCTGGAAATGGGGAGAGTCCAGAAAAGGACAACAAAACTAACAAGGGGACTGGAAGACCTTTGTTATGCGGAACAACTACAGGCATTAAACATATTCTCCCTGGAAAAGACACACTTAAGAGGAGATGTGATAGTGATATAAAATTTCTTAATGATTCCAACATTGGGCGGAAACTAGTCAGTCTCAGGTCCCTCAAGAAGATTCGTGGCCACTCAATGAAGTTGGACGAGACACGTAAGAGGTTCTTCACTGCTAGAGCAGTAAGGATGTGGAACTCCCTACCACAATCAGTGATTTTAGCAGGAAGTGTCGCTAATTTCAAAAAGCTCTTAGATGGGCAGCTTATTGAACATGGATATATGGGAAGTGATAGAGACATAAACACACACAAACACCCACGCAGGTTGAACTGGATGGACTGGTGTCTTTATTCAACCCTACCAACTATGAAATTATGAAACTATGTTCCCCTAGCAAATAATTGGGCTGCATTCACTAAAATACTAAACCAACCAAAAAAAAGAGGCTGCATTTTGTGTATATAAGGTCAACAAGTACACCTGGTTTATGCAATATTCTTTGGATCAAAACTCCTAACTCTCCACTTAACCCCCGTGTAGGTTGGCTCCATTATTAATGCCTCTGACCCAGCTTTGTGGTGTTATAAATTGCTTTTTAATGGGGACATCATCCAATTCTGCATAATAACAAAGGGTTTAGCTTTAGGAAATAAAAGATAACAGAAACTGGAAGAGTGCTTTTAATTAGTCATTAGCTCTGCTTATAACATGAGGCAATTATCTGCGACATTTGAGCACACTTAAGGCAGGATTTATCAAAATAATGATTTTTAGTCTTTTTTCGTGCCCGTCAGGAATTACTTTTTTTTGTTAAGTGACTCAGTGGACTTGTCAACAGTGTGGAGAAAGAGCCAAAAGTAATAATACTATTTTAATTACTGATGAAAAATCCTTGTTGCTTGTACAAACTGTAGGCATGCCAACAGAAACCATCCTTTTATTTGTGCTACAGAGCAAATCACAGGCAATCAAGTTTAGTATTTGATTATGTGATTGCCCAATCAAAAACCAAATGTCTAGCTGGGCCCTTATGGTGTATCTTTTACCAAAATGTGTTCTTGCGACACACACAAGGGCAAGACAGTTATTTTCTTTCACTATTAAAGGTTTTGAAGAATAGTCAATAAATACAAATAGTGACTGTTCCCTGCAAAATTACATTAGGACCTACAGCTGTGCAGCAGCAGGCTCACTGAAGGGAGCCACAGAACTGCAAAATCTTTCATAAGCTGTGGCTAATAAAGAAGGCTGCAAGATAACCTGAGGTCAGCAGTAGGGGATATGTATTGTATGTGATGAAGAAAGAGAGGGGGGAGGTTGACCACAAATATTTTTATCCTTCAAATTACCATCATAACCAAAACTTTTTTTTCTATGTTTTGGATATAGCAGGGAAGTATTAAATGCTTAGGGCCATTGTCCTGCTGCATCACCCAACTTCTACTAAGCTTCAGCTGGTGGACAGCCACCGTGACATTATCCTGTAGGATATTTTGGTAAACTTGGGAATTCTTTCTCCGCTCAATGATGGTGTGTGATTTAGGTCCTGAAGCAGAAAAGCAAGCCCAAATCATGGTGTTCCCTCCACCATACTTCACAGTTGGGATGATCTTTTGATGTTAGTAAGCTGTGCCCTTTTTTCTGTATGCCACTTAACATCACACTTTGGGGCTTCTCTAGTTATAAGCCACCCAATTAAATAAGTGCATATACCGTATTTTTCACTCCATAAGACGCACTTTTTTCCCCCAAAAATATGAGGGAAAATGTCTCTGCGTCTTATGGAGCGAATACTGACCAGTCCTCCACCTGTCACCGCCGCCGTGTTAGTGCCAGCGGCTGTCCCATCCCAGTGCAGCCTGTCCCATCCCACTGCAGGCTGTCACCGGAGTTCACCCTGCCCTCTCTCAGCGGGCTGTCCCCCCAGCTCTTCATAGCAGGCAGTCCCCTCGCCGAACCCAGCCAGCTGCTCTGCAGTCCGGTCCGCCCTGCAGGCGTGGCCTGTCCTCGGAGCTCCTCCCCGCTCCTGGAATGTCTATGTACTGAGCTCCCAGCTCTGCAGTCCGGTCTGCGGGTGTGGCCTGTCCTTACAGCGCCTCCCCTTTCCTGGCATGTGTCCATAGTGTGCTCCCTGCTCTACAGTCCGGTCCTATCTGCTGGTGTGGCCTGTCCTCGGAGCTCAGTGCGCCCCCTGCCTTCTATAGCATGCCTTCTGTAAGTTAAAATGACAGATGCTGGGAGTTGTAGTCCTTTTCCTTGATGTATGGTGTCAGATCATTTGATATTCTGGGTGGAGGGGCCCTGTTGGGACTTTATATGATGTAGTATGTCCGCAGTCTCTGGTCATCCCCTGTACTGTGTCCGCAGTCTCTGGTCATCCCCTGTACTGTGTCCGCAGTCTCTGGTCATCTCCTGTACTGTGTCCGCAGTCTCTGGTCATCCCCTGTACTGTGTCCGCAGTCTCTGGCCATTTCCTGTACTGTGTCCGCAGTCTCTGGCCATCCCCTGTACTGTGTCCGCAGTCTCTGGTCATCTCCTGTACTGTCCGCAGTCTCTGGTCATCTCCTGTACTGTCCTCAGTCTCTGGTCATCTCCTGTACTGTGTCCGCAGTCTCTGGTCATCCCCTGTACTGTGTCCGCAGTCTCTGGTCATCCCCTGTACTGTGTCCGCAGTCTCTGGTCATCCCCTGTACTGTGTCCGCAGTCTCTGGTCATCCCCTGTACTGTGTCCGCAGTCTCTGGTCATCCCCTGTACTGTGTCCGCAGTCTCTGGTCATCCCCTGTACTGTGTCCGCAGTCTCTGGTCATCTCCTGTACTGTGTCCGCAGTCTCTGGTCAGCTCCTGTACTGTGTCCGCAGTCTCTGGTCATCTCCTGTACTGTGTCCGCAGTCTCTGGTCATCCCCTGTTCTGTGTCCGCAGTCTCTGGTCATCTCCTGTACTGTGTCCGCAGTCTCTGGTCATCTCCTGTACTGTGTCCACAGTCTCTGGTCATCTCCTGTACTGTGTTCGCAGTCTCTGGTCATCTCCTGTACTGTGTCCGCAGTCTCTGGTCATCTCCTGTACGGTGTCTGCAGTCCATTGGTTCAGAATATCTTTTTTCCAGTTTTTTGCCTCTAAAACCTAGGTGCGTCTTATGGTCAGGTGCGTCTTATGGAGCGAAAAATACGGTATATATATATATAAACTATGCACAAAAAAGTCCTAAGCACATCACATATCAAAGCTGTTCAATAGCAACACAAGTTGACTGTTCACCACATCACCCGTTAGTGTGCCAGTACTTCGGTATTTCAACCGGTTCCTTAGCATGTCTGAGCCATGGTGTCACTTCCAGGATGGCGTGTGATGTCACTTCCAGTCGCCCTGCAGCTGTGCCCAAGAAAGATTCTGCGTTATGCCTTGGGAGTCATCTTGGCTGGGTGCCCACTTCTAGGAAGAGTAGCTACAGTATAAACTGTTTCCATTTATAGACAATTTGTCTGTCGACTGATGCATGCCCAAACACTTTGAGATTGCTATGTTTCTCTCTCCATCCTTATGCAGATTCGCTACTCTTGATCGTATGTCTTAAGAGAGCTCTGTTTTGTGAGGCATAGTTCACATCAGTTAATGCTTCTTATGAACAGCAATCTTAAAATGTTTCAGTGTCCTTTAAAAATCAAAGTAGCTCTAAATCATACCTATAAAACTCATTTTATTATTTGGATTCCAGGTGTTTAACCACTTGCCCTCCAGAGGATTTACCCCTCTTCCTGACCAGGCCATTTTTTGCAACACGGCACTGTGTTACTTTAACTGACAATTGTGCGTCATGCAATGCTGAATCCAAATGAAATTTATGTCCGTTTTTTCCCACAAATTGAGCTTTCTTTTAGTGGTATTTGTTCACCTCTATGTTTTTTTTTTGTGTGTGCTATAAGCAAAAAACACCTGACAATTTTGAATAGAAAACAATATTTTTGACTTTTTGCTATAAAAAATATCCAGTAAAAAAATGTAAAAAATCAGATTTCATCATAAATGTAGGCCAAAATGTATTCTGCCACATGTATTTGCTAAAAAATGCCAATACGTGTAAATTAATTGGTTTACGTGAAAGTTATAGTGTCTACAAATTGAAGTATATATACTGGAATTTTTTTTTTCATACTAGTAATGGCAATGATCAGTGAGTTATAGCGGGACTGTGGCAGGCATTCTGGCACTGGGGGGGGGAGCTGACTAACTACCAATGACACTAATACAGTGATCGGTGCTAATAAAAAGCACTGACAAGCACTGACACTATACTAATGACACTGGGCAGGAAGGAGTTAAAGTACTGACTCCAATTACCTTCTGTTGAAGTAATCAGTCTATTAGTTCACTTACTTTTTCCTCCATGACTGTGAATATGTAATGGATGTGTTCAACAAAGGCACAATTATAATTAGCATTGTTTGTGTGTTATCAGCTTAAGAACATTGTGTTTGTCTATTGTTGTGACTTAGATGAGGATCAGATCATATTTTATGGCAAATTACTGCAGGGAACCAGATAATTCCAAGGGTTTCACATACTTTTTGATTATAGGTTCATATGTTTCATGTTTAAAATATCTATTATTTAGCATATAAAATAAATGTAAAGGAATAAAAATCTAAAGTTTGTAGTAAACAACATGGAAACCTGTAATCCTTACCGTCCATGGAAATAAAATGAAACTATTAACTAGGTCACTATTTTTGGAACAGCCTTGGTACTGTAATTCCACCTGTGATTCTATTTGTGCAGTAAGCTCTGTCTCCTCCTGCTGACATAATTATTGCTGAAACAGAATTACCTACTGGACAACAAGGTACGGAGCTATGAGAACCCAAGAATTTCCTGTGTCAAGACAGTCAGCAAGCTGTCTACCCTGGGTCGTATATCAATAAAGCCGCCCGAAAGGCTGAGTAGCATCCTTCTTGGAAACCTACAGTACTTCAAGCTGCCAAAATCGAATGTCTATTTTGAGTTTATGACATAAACAGAGTTAAGGTCTCTGTGGAATGTTGGTGTCTGATGAACTCCCACACAGATCAAAGAGCTACAGAAACTCAGCAATAAAGCAAGGGTCCTCATAATGTTGTCAGGTTTCACATACAATGATAGTTTTTTCCTTTCACCCAAAACTACTACTTTATTGGTTGGTTGATGTTGGTGTGTTACGTGACTTATCAGTTCCCTATATTTTCCCAAAACTCTGATGGTGAAATCCTTGAAATGCCAATGTTGGGTGGTGGGGCACTAGCAAAATGCCCCAAGAGTAGTTTACACCAACTAATGGTTTCCCAAGTCGGCAGTGGCCTGCTGTGGCCATTATTCAGGGTTCCCACACTCCCTGTTGGACTTTAGGCTGTGGAGGGAGGAGGGAGTGAAAACTCTATTGATTTATACACTGCTGTCTATTGATTGTCTATTGATTTATACACCGCTGTCAATGTAATACTGTTGACATTCACAGAGGACAGAAAGACTCAGAGATAACATAGTCAATATTCTTCTGCTCCTTATTTGTCCAATTACAAAATAGGGTAAGTTCTGAACCAGACTTAATTACCTAACTGAAGTGTAGCAGCAATGGAGGCTGGACCACAAGACTGGTTGAATAAATGTACAAATCCTTTGCCATATTTAAATTTTTTCATAAATTAATTTTAGGTGTATGTTTAGGTGTTTAGCTGCTTTAAGCTGCCCCTAGTCATTAATACATTGACAGCCAAAGTGGCAACAATATTCTACAGCTAAAAGTTTTGCTAATATATTAGTACACAAATATACATGCATGCACCGCACAAGCACAAATGGAGTCTGTGAATATTGTTGGAAGCCTTGTTTTGCTACCTTCACATACCTGCAATTGTCTTGCTGTGCATTTTCAATGCCGTGAATTTGCAGAGATATGTTTTGCAGATGTTCCCATCAGAGTTGCATTAAAGCAGAAAAGGGGCCCTAGGCATAGTAGTAGTTTTGACCCCCCCATATTCCCTTCAATTACCATTGATAAGAATTGAAAGAGACAAAGAGAAGTCTTCCTGTTTGCATTGTCTTTACTGCCAATCAGGCCCCTTATTGTGCATCCACCCTTGTGACATGATAGACAGGTGCATAGTTTTGACCAATTGCACTATTCCCCTATTTGCTGCAAGGTTGTGACCCGGCTAGCATGGACATCCCTGGACCCTGAGTCATCAGTTTCAATTCAGGAGCTTTACTAGAAACTGTACTAAAATTGCACCATGAAGGGTTTTTTTTAATGCACACATACGTGACTGTGGTCTTATTGTGGGAGAAAACTAGTCTATTGGTTGTCAGATTAAAACTCAGGAAATTGCCTTTTCTCCAGAATCGATCTTCACTTCTAAGGTGTACAGGTACCTATACTCATGTCAATCTCTATAGCCTCACCAGACCATGGATAAGACCAATCAGCAGAAGGTGTGACCTGGGCCGGCAAGAGTCTCACCCTGCGTTGTCATTTTTCTTGCAGCATACAACCAGAGTTTGGCTACTCTGCGACCTGTGGCAGTGAACTACAAGTTTAAAAGTTGCTTTGCTATTTTACAGCCATTAATTACCGTTCTAAATGCTATAAAAACTGTACAAACACACTGCCGCCTAGCCGGTAGCCCTGTCCTGATACATATTTCTAAGCTATCCAATTAAACTAGAGAAATGTACTCGTCAATATGAAGCAGCATCGGCAGACAAGCTGAACAGAATGAAAACAACTCATACACATGTTATTAGTGTAATGAACATAAAACACGTGAAAATAAAAACCTCCTCTGGCTGGAATATCATTATCTGCAAGTCACTGAATAGGAAAATGAGAGACAGGAAATATTTATAGGTATAACATGTACAGCACGAATTAGATGAGCCACCAGCAAATATAATAATTGGCCAATGTCTTTTAGAAGAGTATAATGACAGCCCTCTGGATATAATAAACTATGGGGTTAGTGATAGTTAATTAAAGATGACCTGTCACTGATGTACTACTTTATCTACAGATTAGCACATTCTTCTAAACCCCTAGAACTTAAGGCATATGTCAGGGCATGATAAAAAAAAAATATTCAGTATATCTTACAATACATGCATATTCTCTATATCTTATTCCTTTAAAAATGCTGCACAAAAACAGAAAAACAGTTCAGGTTCCACCAGAAATCCAGCGAGCTTCTAACTTCTTGTTTTGGCTGACAACACAGTTACTTTCTGTACTGAAATCCCAAGCGGTGTTGTCAACTACAGAAATCCACTTATTTACTCTCTTTCCCAATCCACATGTATTAATTTAGCAAACAATGCTGCTGACTTGACCTCAAAGAGCCTGCCTATATATTGTGTGTAAAGAATGAACTCTTGGGAGATGTATTTCTGGGGGGTAGAGAGAAAGGGGAAGACCTGCATCACTTCCTCCAGTGGGAAGCCCTGCATCACTTCCTCCAGTGGGAAGCCCTGCATCACTTCCTCCAGTGGGAAACCCTGCATCACTTCCTCCAGTGGGAAGCCTTGCATCACTTCC